TTATTACAAAATCTATTAATTTTAAATATATAATATCATAATATGCAAAAAAGTTACTGAATTGTACGTAGAATCTAATTATAAAATAAAAAATACCCTATATTTTTCATTAAAAAATATATGTTATATCCGAACAACAATCACGACTCCAAACATTTTTTTGAAGTACCCTGTATACTCTACAGTAATTTTAAAATGTGCTTCTTAACCTTCCCTATAACTTTTCTATTTAACATTTTGTTCTAAAAAGCGTTAAAAACAAAACATTTTTGATATACGTATATACCTTGAAGTCGATAGCTTTTCATTATCTATTATACTGCAGTTATTATGAATTAATTTAACATCATTAATCATAAAACAAAAATATATCTGAATGTATGTGAAATTTTCGAGAAAATTTTCTTTTACCCGATCGTTATATGAGTAGTTTTATATATATTTTGTTAGACAAGAATTATGCTCCAAGTTTTTTTTAATCTAAATTGAAAAAAATATATATATTAGGTATATAGTATACTAGCGTTTATAGTATACTAGCGTGTACCAGAGACTTCGTTCGCGTCGAATTAATCATTTGTAATGGTGATAATAAAGCAAAGCAAGAATTTCCAATAACATACAAACTGGATAAAATTTTCTCACATTTATGTCAGCATAAGAAAAAACAATATGGCGATATTATTATATAACTTGGTAATATTTAAGGGGTAGTTTCATCTCGTTGGAATTTGACTTTCGAAAAATCCGTTTGCCAAAAATAAGCTTTTTACGTCAAGGAGTTTAAGCAGAATCGTGGTTAAGAAATTACCCAACTTCTTGGAACACCCTGTATGATTTTTTAAAAAATTTCAAATTATGTAAAAAAACCAAATAAATTATGCTTGTCCAAGCGTTTTTCCGAAAGACTAACCGTTTTTTAAATAACAAATATTGTAATATTTGAGGGGCGTTTTCACCCTCTTGGAATTTGAGATTCGAGAAACCCCTCCTTATCGAACCTCTACACCCCACAGTCAATCCGTTTACCAAAAATCAGCTTTAAACGTCAAAGCAGTTTAAACAGAATCGTGATTACTCAATGGTCATATTTTATGAAACACCCTGTATAAATTTATAGAAAATCTTAAATTATGGAAAACAACAAAATAAAATATACGTGTTTAAGAGTTTTTCCAAAAAACTCACCGGTTTTTAAATAAAAAATATTTTAATATTTGAGGGATAGTTTCATCCCCTTAGAATTCGAGTTTCGAAAAATCCCTTCTTATCGAACCTCTACACCGTAAAGTCAATCTCTTTTCCAAAAATCAGCTTTTTACGTCAAGCGCTTTAAGCGTGATCGTGATTAATCAATGACTAGATTTTTCGAAACACCCTGTATACATTTTTAAAAAATCTTAAAATATGTAAAAAAACAAAATAAAATATACGTGTTTAAGCGTTTTTTCGGAAACTTGACAGTTTTTTAAATAAAAAATATTGTAATATTTGAGGGGTGGTTTCACCCTATTGGAACTGGAATTTCGAAAAACCCCTTCTTATCGAACCTCTACACCTTAGAATCAACCCGTATGCTAAAATTGAGCTTCTTACGTTCAGTGGTTTGAGCAGGATCGTGATTAATCAGTATGTCAGTCACTTAAGGATTTTATATATTAGTATAGATTTGCTTCAAAATTGTTCTCAAGATTCTGAATTCCAAGAGACTGCCAGTCTACCTGGACCCGCTGGACGCATCTCCTCAAGTAGACGCCGGACTGTTCCTTTTTTGTCATTACCCCTGCTCTTTGCTGTATTTTGCCTCTAGTATATTTTGGGCCAGTTTTGAGATGGCTTCAAAGTTTTCTCTTCTTTCTGTTACCGATTTTAAGAAGGTATCTGCGGAGATGTTGCCACCAATCGTCATGCGTACCTCACATCTTTCCTGTTCCCATCTTGGACAAGCAAACATTGTGTGTTCTGGAGTATCATTGGGTTCAGCACAGTATCGGCATTCCGCGACTTCCCTCTTTCCAATTTTACACGGGTAATCCCCAAAATTTCCTTGGCCACTCAATATTTGAGTAAGATAGAAGTTTACCTCTCCATGCTTTCTTTTAATCCACATATTTATATTTGGGATGAGCTTATATGTCCATCTTCCTTTTTGTGATACTTCCCATTCTGCCTGCCACTGCTGCACTGTGCGGTTTCTTTCCATCTCTCTGCTTGCCCTGGTTTGTACTTCACCCTTGAGAAAGAGTCGTTCTCTTTCTCTTGAGAGAAGATGTAAGGGCACCAGACCCGATATCACCAAGGCTGCCTCAGTTGAAGTTGTCCGATACGCCGAGCAGACCCTCAAAGCCATGACTCTCTGTGCACCTTCAAGTCTTTTTTTATTTACGTGCATATTGGTTGCTTCGTTCCACACAGGTGCTCCATACATAATAATATTTGGCACGCGTTTGCTAACACTCTTCTCTTTGCTGGTGTTGGGCCCCGATTTGGCAGTATTGCGGACAACGCTTTAGCAGTTCGTTGTGATTTCAGACACACCTCCTTGATGTGCAGGCCCATCGTGAGTGCACGGTCTATGTGGAATCCAAGATAGTTGACTTCCTTTACTGGATTTATTATTATATCCTTAAATTTAAACCTTATATGGTCAACTTTTCTCTTGCGGCTCAGTAAGATCGCCTCTGTTTTTTCCACAGCAATTTCGAGTCTGTGCTCACGCATCCATCTGGCTATGATCTTTAGTGTATCATCCACAGTCTGCATTAGGTCGAGGTCGTTAATTTTTTTGTTTCTTTTAGTTTTTTTTGTTATTATCACAGCAAGATCATCGGCGTAACAGATCAACTCTATCCCACCTGGTACAGTAAGCTCCCCATGACACTGTCGTATAATATGTTCCACAGAGTTGGCCCCAGCACCGAGCCCTGTGGGACGCCACCGAATACCTCTCTTTCATCTCTATTGAGAACTATAAATCTATTATCAAGATAGCTTCTTATTATGTTCACCAAATAGCCACTTATGCCCCATCTTCTAAGTTCTTTAATAATTATTTCCCATGACGCGCAATTAAATGCATTTTTAACGTCGACTAAAATCAAAGCATTATGCCAAGTGGCTTTTCTTTTCACGATATCCGATATTTTCTTCATTGCATGTGTGGTAGATTTCCCCTTTACAAATCCATACTGGTTTGGATGCATACCATTTCGTTTCTTCCTAATTTCTTCCAAGAGTCGCGTATTGATGAGTTTCTCATAGACTTTCCCGATTACATCAATGAGGCAAATCGGACGATATTTTGGTGGATCATTTAGGTGCTTCCGGGGTTTCTCTATTAGGGTTAATTTGGATCTCTTCCATTCTTTAGGGAATTCATTTCTCTGAAGAAAGTTATTGAAAAATGTTCTAAAATATTCTACATTGTCCAATATTAGCGTTTTTATCACATTTGGTGGCAAATTATCACAGCCCGGAGATTTGTTAATTTTTATATCTTTGGCAGCATTTATTATATCTGAATCACAAAAAATATCACATTCTCTTATCACAGTTTGTATATTATTTGGTTAGTCCAGGTTTGTCTCTCATATACAAATAGAGCCTTAAACTGTTTGATTTTTTCTTCTGGGTCCATTTGAACTCTGGGTGGCATTTTTTTCAGCTGGGATCTTATTATCTTATATGCTTGACCGTAAATATTTTCTTGTAAGTCATCGCACAGTTTTTCCCATGAACTTATTTTTGCAATTCTGATCTTTTGAGACAGATCCTGCTTTGCTTCTTTGTAGGTACGTTTATAGAGCTCGCGAAGATCATCGTTTCTTGTTTCTCGTTGAAACCTTCTTCTCTTTTTTTTTACTTCTAAAATGTTTGTTTGGATATCTTCGTTCCACCAGTACGGCATCTGGAAGTCTTCATCACAACGGACAGTCGGAGTACTTTTATGGTATGTTGCGCGAATTATTTTTGCCATTTTGTAAGCTGACATAGTTGGTGACTTGCCCGGTATGCTATATTTGAATGCTTCACTAAGCTTAACCTTATTAATTTCTCCGTATTTATACCTGAATTTTTTTCCTTGCGAGTTATCTGATGGTATTTCGGTAAAAATACACTTGTGCTCTGTTACATCCGGATCTTCAAGGACTTGCCATATGGGTTTCATCTGCAGTAATACATCGCATACTATTGACAGATCAATATACGATGTGCCAGATGTTCTGACCAAGGTTGGGTAAATTCCGTCATTTAGTACGGTTAGGTTATTGATCTCGCACCATTCCAGTACTTCCCTGCCTGTTCTTTCAGTGCGATTTCCTCCCCAAACTTCATGTTTGGCGTTAAAGTCTCCAGTGATCAGTAATTTTGTACGAGGATGTTTCTGTTTCAGATCTAAGGTGGCCTCTTGCAGTTCAAGCATTAATGCGCAGAAGCTGTCAAAAGTTATGTTTGGGCTCAGGTACGCTGATATCATACAAATCCCTAAATATCGTACACTAACATAACAGTGACCAGATTTGTATTCCAGGACATGCAAGTTCTTATTAAAGTTTATGATCAGCATTGCTATTATGGTAATAACTTTTGTTGCCATTTCTGCATATTTTCTTATTTGGTTCAGTAATACATATCACGTCGCATTTTTTGGATGCCGCTACCGCTGCAGCTGTATCATGTACGGGTATGCTTCTATTAGCATTTATCTGGAGTACTCGCATTGTAGCATGGATTTACACAAAGTTACAAACAAGCAAACTATATTTATCACAAAACAAGAACAAGACAAATATGAAATTAGTAAATTAAAGCTAGTTATATTATAGATCAAATTAAATTTATCACTTTCTACTCTCCGTTTCCATATCTCTATTTCGGGCTTTTTCGACCATGGATATCCGATTTTGTGTTCCTTAAGGCATAGTAAACATCTAGGAGGCTCTTTACAGGCCTTTGCATAATGTCCTTCTAAACCACAATTTGTACATAGCTGACTTCTGTCAGATCCTGTGCGGAGTTGCATGTGTGCTAAATGTTCTGCGGAAAGTATTTCTCTCAATTCTTCTTGCTCTTGAAAGTTGGGTTTTAAAAAGTTTGCATTTACCGCTACCAGCCATGTGACCTTCCGTTTGGCAAAGGGGACAATGGTCATTGTTCTTGCAGTCTTTTATGGTGTGTCCGTCTTCTCCACATTTAAAACATTTGCCAAGTCGGTTTGGTCCACTACATTGTGTGTGATCATGCCCATATTCCCAACACTTCCTGCATTTCATTACGTTGATTTTTTTTTCTATAGAGCATCTTACATATCCTATATTAATATATCCCTTATTCAGCAGCAGGTTTGCGTTTCTTTGAATAATGTTGAGGGTAATTGCTTGAGTATCATTTGACATGGGTCTGAGGTCACCAAGTTTATATTCGGTCATATCTAGATCTGCAATTTCCTTCTTTAGAGCGCTAATAACCTCTTCTTTGCTTGTAACGGCATCTATCCCTCTAATAAACAATGTTTCCATTTTCTCACCCATATACTTCCTTATATGATTACCTTTATTATCTTTGTTTTCTTTAAGAGCCCTTTCTACTTCGTCGACTTTTTCTTTATTTTTTTTCATTGTAATCAGGAGCTTTCCCTGGCGCGTACTTCTGATGCCAAGTATCCTATTTCCCAGCTTCCTATCCTGTAGAGTTTTTCTTACGTCTCTAAGCGTATCCTTGTAGTGTCCAATAGAGTTCTCTACCACTATTGCATATGTTTTTTTCTATCTAGTCTCTGTCGTTACCTTTCCGTTTGTGTATATCGTGAAGTTTGTATTTGACCCATGAAAGATGCTTTCTATCAGTTTCCTCATGCGTTCTATTCAGATCGCTTCTGGCTTGTTGATTGATACCCACTCTGCGTCTTTAGTGTCGTTCTGTATATTACAAATTGTTTTGTGTAACTCTTCTTCCGTGTCATCAAAAGAAGCTTTAATTACTTTAAGTGTTCTTGGTTCATTGCTTGTGTTTGTTTTTAATTTGCTAGTTTGCTCTAGAATTGCGTAGACTTCGGATGTCTCTAGTAACTCTGGATATCTTTGATTGATTGTTTGGGTCTCTATTCTATTAAGTGCCGTGTCCTTGGGTCCCATGACTACTGCTTTTATAGTGGTGTCCTTGGTATCAAACAGTTTTACTTCACAATTTGTGAACAATTCCTCATCCCAGTTCCTTTCAGCTAGGTGAACAAATTCTGCATAGTTCTCTGATTTTTTGATTTTAAATAGTGATCCTTCTTCAACGGTTTGCGTGCCGATAGTGCAAGTCTCCGTTGGCGGACCATTTATATTCTTCTCAATTATTTTCTTATTGAACAATGTTTGCATATCAAGTTTTCTTTGGCGGGTTATTTATCTGATTTTCAATTCTGTTCTTGTTGGGCGACGTTTGTACATCAACGTCGTACATCAACTTCTCTGTTTGCTCGTACCTTAGGCTATCCAGCAAATTCTTCACAATGTTATAAAATGCTATCACAACATATCACAACATATTTAGCTGCTTCGTATATTTACATAGATTTTTTACTAATTCCTTGATTTCCTTTCTGGTGTTTTTATCCATCTTTTCTTGTAAATCCTTATTAATATTAGTGATACAATCAATAGCCTCTTTTATCACTGCTACTTCAGTTGATTCTTTCCTGTTGTATGTTTTTTTTGGGGTTTTTGCATCTCATCGTACCCCATTGACTCTCTTCGTCTTTTACCTTGAGCTTTTCGAAACACTTCAAGAAGTAAAGAATCCTGCTTTTTTCCTCCCTTAGCTCCACTAATCGAAATTTTGCCCCCCCCCCAGAATCCGTGGGGCAGCCTACAAAAATGGTAGAGAGGGATTCTCGGCTACTTGCCGTACCCTCCTGGGGTATTTTAGTTTTAGGTTCCGACATATCATACCTTCGATTTTGGGATTTTTTGGGTCCCATCCCTAGACCGGTTGCCTTCACCATGGCTATATGAGCTCGGTCTGCCCATTTGTAGCCGCCCGCTCCGGGTCAGACGCTACTATTGTTCTATTAGTCGTCTTTTACGACAGGCAGAACATGCCGAGGGTGTATTCTTCCCCGCATTCCCCACGGGGAAGTGGGGAGTGCGGGGAAGAATACCGACTGCATTGCTGCGGTCCACGAAGACAACATACATAAAATGATTGATATCTTCAATAACTTCCATCAAAAACTAAAATTCACATTAGAAATAGAAGAAAACCACCAAATCAACTTCTTAGACCTAACTTTAAAAAGAAATCTAAAATCTGGTGCAGTAGAAACCATATGGTATACAAAAAATACATGGTCCAGACGCTACCTCAACTTTAACTCAAACCATGCAAAAAAACAAAATATAAGTGTCATAATAGGTTAGAGAAAAATCATTATCCAACAAAATTGATTGAGAAAATTTTTAAACAAAGAATTCATAAATTTTATAACACATTAACAACAAAAAAAAAGAGAAACACATTCTAACACAAAATTTATAGCTATGCCTTATACAGAAGGGTTATCAGAAAAAAAAATACAATAAACTTTAAAAAAATACAACATCCAAATTGCCCACAAAGTACATAGAACATTATCAAGCGCATTTACACCATTAAAAAGTAAAATGCCTAACAACAAACGATCCAATATAGTGCATGGAATTCCATGTCTAAATTGCGAAAAAATATACAGGGTGGTCCGAATTGTATTCCGGAAACTTCGGCAGCATATTCTGCAGATAAAAATAAGTAAAAAAGTTTGTATAAATGTATGACATCAAATGCTTAGTTTCGGAGATACAGGGTGTAAAAATTCCATTTTTATTTCTATTTTTTCTAAATAATTTCTGAAGTAACGTCAATATCTGAATGAAAATTGGTATCTGGGAGTTTTGTGATACGAGAAATTTGATTTTGATGTCAAAATGACTCCTATTTGTAGGGGGCGCCACATACATGCGTTTTAACTGTTTTAAAGAGTAATAAATTTTCGAAGGTACCTGTATAAAACTACTGACTAAAAAATATACATTTCCATGACTTTTTACGTAAAAAATGCCTCTTGGTAAAAATCGCTACGAGCAACCGTTCTCAAGATATTTAAAATGAAAATAGTCAATACATCTCATTATTGACAAAAAAATAAGCACACGTATTGAATAGAATTATTTGACTGAAATAATAAATGTTTATTTTTTTAAATTAATCATACATTTTTCTGCGAAAAAATGATGATTAAATAGTTTCTGTTGAACTTTTGGCGCAAAAAGATTTCAAATTTAAGATTTCAGTCTAATAACTATTTGGTCAACATATGTTTAATTTGTCAATGGTGACAGGTATTGATAATTTCAATTTCAAATATCTCGAGAACCATTACTCGTAGCGATTTTTACCAAGAGACCTTTTTATGTAAAAAAAGTTGTAAATATATATTTTTTTACTCAGTAGTTTTATACAGGTATGGATGAAAAGATATTACTCTTCAAACTATTTAAAGCATATGCAGGTGGCGCCCTCTACAAGTAGGAGTCATATTGACATAAAAATCAAATTTCTCATGTCCAAAAACTGCCAGACACCAATTTTCATCCAAATATTGACGTTACTTCTTAAAATGTTTGGAGAAAATCGAAATAAAAATGAAATTTCTACACCCTGTGTCTCCGAAACTAAGCATTTTAAGACACACATTTATACGAACTTTTTTACTTATTTTAATCTGCAGAATATGCTGTCGAAGTTTCCGGAATACAATTCGGACCACCCTGTATATTGGGAAAACGTCCCAATTATTTTTACACAAACATGAAAACAAAACCAACCACGAGTTCGACTTTAAAAATTTCAAAATATTAGATCAAGAAAGGCATCAAAATAAATTAAACATCAAGAAAATGATTCAAATAGCGAGAAACAAAAACGCCAGTAAACGACAGACAGGATATTCAAAACCTGAGTAATAATAATAAAACTAGCGCAACATTCATAAATCCAATATTTTTCAACCGACCCTCATATCGCAATACAGAAAGAAACGAATACAGACAAAAAATAAAATATAATACACAAAAAAACCACAATATCACGATTAATATAAGAATTCAATGACCGAAACAGCATCTGGTACGTGCTCTGCTACAATAATTTATAATAGATTTTAATTTCAAGATTTCCTATATTTATATTTTTAATTTTTGATGTATTGTTTTTTAAGATTTTATGTTTTTATGTATTAAGAATATTTGACTCTATATACACATGTTTGTTATATATTTAAAAAAATCGTAATCGTATTATAATGTTTTTTTTAATATTTTAGATGCCTTGGCAAACATGGCAAAAAAAGGATTTAAAAACGTCCATAAATCATTTAATTTCTAATGAAAAAAACTATACCCAAGAAAATCACAATTGAAATATTGAATGAAGGTTTAAGAAAAAGGAGGATATCTATAGATTACAAATATTGTCTTTCAGCAAGCCTATGAACGCACATTAATGCATAGATATTGGCTATAGGTGCATATATATAATCTGGCTGACTTGTCATGAAATATTACTTTACTGGTAATTTTTAAAGATGATATAGAACAGTGTTTCCCAAAGTGTGGGTCGCGACTCCCTGGGTGTCGCGATGATGTACTGGGGTACTACCTGATATTTCCAAAATGAAACAAAAACGCCAATTTGTTAAATCATGTATTTTTATTTTAATAACGCCGTAAATAAAAATTAACAATGAATTGTCAAAAAAAGCATAAAATTAAATATTAAAAAGTCCGTAAAAATAAGACAGATAATTAAAGAAATAACTGGGTGATCCGAACTGTATTCCGGAAACTTCAGCAGCATATTCCGCACATAAAACTAAGTAAAAAAGTTTGTTTAAATGTATGTCCTAAAATGCTTAGTTTCGAAAATACAGGGTGTAGATTTCATTTTTATTTCGAATTTTTCCAAAGAATTTGTGAAGTACCCTCGAGATTTGGATGAAAATTGGTATCTGGGAGTTTTTTGACATGATAAATTTGATTTTGATGTCAATATGACTCCTACTTGTATAGGGTGCCACCTACATATTGTTTAACTAGTTTGAAGACTAATAACTTTTCGTCTGTACCTGTATAACACTAGTGAGTAAAAAAATATACATTTACGGTGTTTTTTATGTAAAAAAATGTTTTTTGGTAAAAATTACTACGAGTAATGATTCCCGAGATATTTGGAATCTAAATTATCAATACCTGCCATCGATGACATAAGTTAGACATATACGGACGAGAAGTTATTACTCTTCAAACCAGTTAAAAATTTGTAGGTGGCGCCCTCTACAGGTTGACCAATTGACATCAAAATCAAATTTCTTATGTCAAAAAACTCCCAGATACCAATTTTCATCCAAATATTGACGTTGCTTCAGAAATTATTTGGATAAATTCGAAATAAAAATGAAACTTCTACATCCTGCATCTCCGAAACTAAGCATTTGAGAACATACATTTATACAAAATTTTTTACTTATCTGCAGAATATGCTGCGAAAGTTTACGGAATACAGTCCGGACCATCCTGTCTATTATATGAGACTCATG